TTGATCACCTTTAATCTCAAATATATCAATGAACTTGATATGGGGTTGATTTGACATTTCTTATTCTAATGTGCATCCAAGAGTGGAATTTCAATTTTACGCTTCTCACCTTAACCGTCATTCTCACCGGAACCTAACCCTATATGTGTATGTGTTTTGAATAATATCGTATGACAATCTAAATTCATATAACTAAAGCAAAGGGCCGTTTACCAAATGCTTACTCGCGGTAAGCATTTACCAAGTCACATTACCTCACTGGATGAATATAGCAAAGACCAAAAATCTTACCCGATAAGAGTGAAGGCAAGGACCAAAAGTCTTATGCGGTAAGTGATAGAGACAACTCTTACCACGGTTAGCGTTTACTGGGTAAGTTGTTACATATGATGTCGTTTTGGTAGACTAGAATCTTACCAAGTAAGAATCTTACCAAGTAAGTAAACGATAACATTGAATTTTAACGTTAAACGTTTACGGGTAAGTGTTTAGGTAAACAACCCCTAATAATACTAAAATGATATCAATGATTCAAAATCGGGATCAAACCTCTTAAGCCTCTACTCATTTATTTCGTTAATCGTCAAGAAATTCTCTTTCGAGTGTTTGTGTAAGGAAATCGGAGTAAGGATTTATCTATTTAAAGTTTTAATGGGAGTAAGAATTTTGCCTACGACAAGTAATTAACATGGGAGTGTGGTTTAAAGACGTGTCACGTTAGTTAGAGAAGTTATTCATCATGGATATCGAGCATCGTCTTTGTTCATTGTCGATGTAAGAATCGTCTAATATGTTTCAAACCCCCTCCCCCCTTCTCGATCAGAAACTCATTGTCATCAATGATGATTACCTTATTATCCCGATAACGCAAGGACTTATGGAGTATGTCGGGTGTGTGTACATATGTAGAAAGAGATGAATGATCGTGTGAGAATAAGAGTTAAGGTAAGAAGTGTAAGAAAAGATTTGGACCATTGATTACTTTTAATGTCACCCCCACCCATGAATTGTGCTTATCACGGGAATTGATCTGTGCATCAAGGTGCAACATAGTGTTGAATTGATCCAATGGTGAAGATCCATTCTTACTCTTCTCACCATAACTTTCATTCTCACCGGTACCCAACCATATATATAAACAAAGAATGGTGTGAGAAATAGTTAAGATGAGAAGCGTAAGCGATGTCCACCTTGGATACAAATTAGGATGAGATGATGCATCAAAATGTACTGAGATGAGGTGCACCTTTAACCCTAAAATATATTTTTTATTTATTTTAAATAATTAAGTTTTTCGTTTGAAACTAAAAAGATTCATAATACGAAATTTTCTATATTTCTATACAACATTTGCGATCCGTGACATTGTTTTAGATTTAAATTAAATACGTAATTGTATTATTATTTATTATTATAAAAGTTATTACTGATTTCATCTTAAAATAAACGTTCAGTTTTTATTGCAGTCTTTCTCAAAACAGATATTCAATTTCAAGAATAGATATATAATTTACTTAATTTCTAGTTTAACACTTAATTATGAACACTAATATTTAAAATTATTAACCACAAGGATGGTGCCTGATTGGTTTGAGTTTGGCTCCAAAAATTAAAAGTAAGAGCCCAGGTTCAAATCCAAGGAGGAATAAAAATCCTCTTGTGGCCATGGAGGTTCAAATGCGATGACTTCCGGCTATCTGCAAAGCAGGTGGTCGCCCTGAGATTAGTCGAGCATAGCGGGTTGGATATCCAGGTTAATCAAAAAAATATATTTAAACTTATTGATGAGTTTGACAGAAAATATGTTTATATTATTAAGTTGTCATTTAATTAGTTAAAAAGATGTAATAATTACGAAAATTTATTTTTAAATGGATTAGTTATCTTTATGACAATAACATATGAATTTAAACCACAAGGATGGTGTCTGATTGGTTTGAGATTGGGCACCAAAAGTCAAAAGTGTGTCTGGAGGTCTCATGTTTAAATTCAAGGAGGAATAAAAATCCCCTTGTGGTCACAAAGGTTCAAATGATGTGACTTCGGACTACGTACAAAGCAGATGGTCACTTTGGGATTAGTCGTCTCGCATAACGGGTTGGATATCTCGGTTAATCAAGAAAAAAAATAATAACATACAAATTACAAAGACGGTTCATGATTGACTGAAGCAGTTGCCTAACCATGAACTTTTAGGTGTCTAACTATCAATAATCTCCATCTTCTTGCTAAATAAACGTTTCTACAACTGTGATACTCACACGTATCAACGTCAATCTCACTTTTTTTAGGAGTGTTCATGATCCGAACCAACGTCAATCTCGAACTATTGAACACGAGAAACAAGAGTACAAGAGAAAAGACGACAATCTATTCGAATGAAAGTGTTAGATGTACAGACCCTGTTCTCTCATATTATATCTTAATGAGTCGTATTTCACCCTTTCGAATTCAGTCATCGTCGTTGAAAATCAAGAACCGACTCATAAGTATACGTATTTGTTTTTTCGAGCCTCTGGAATTTCAATCATTAGAATTACGATTTAGATAACGAAAAAAGGTGTACTTCGGGATATGTTCAAGGACACTTAATTAACAGGTTAATATACGGTCTAACTCAATGTTCATATAGGACTAGGTTTTTTGAACCATTTTCAGGTCATAACGTATTTTAGAAGATAGTTTTCTAACAAATTAAACCAGCGAATGTATATACTAACCATACCAGTTAAATTGTTACCAACTTACTAACTACAGTTGGTTGGTAGTACCGTAGCAAGTATACAAACTTGGTTGATACACAGTATTGGAAGTCGCATACCAACATACCATGATACCAACTTCTTTAATTATTTACTAGTTTTTTGTATTTTTTTATATATTAAATATTAAACATTGTAACTATATCTATCTTGTTTGAACATTTGAATGTTAACAAGTTTATTTATTACAATTACTTGTTTTACCTGAAAAAATTTGATATCAGATATAATCGATTAGTATACAATATAAAATTTAACGTACCAAGTATAATTAATCAGCAAATAATATTGAAAAAGCTTTGTATCATACCAAATCCACTGATATCGACCGATACATAAGGGTGTGTTTGGTGTCCAGACAATATAGGACAGGACATGATAGAACAATTGTTCAACATTTGATAAGATCAAACTGAACAGAACAAAACACATAAATTGACCAATTTACCTCTGATGAGTTGTTTATTTTAATTAATTTATGTAATTTATTAAATTATAATAGAATAATTATTTTTTATAACAAAATATATCATTTGAAGTTTTCGTCAAAACAATTAAAATAACACCAAATAAAAAGTTTATATAGTTTTCTAATTTTATTTTTATCTCTTTTTTACATTATTTTTTTTTATTATTATATATAATAAATTACATAAATTAATAAAAATATTGAAACCGTATAAAAATAATATTTTGAGAACAGTAAAATGAAAGTTTAAAAAACATAAAATACAATAAATAAAATTTAAAGAATGAATAAAATATAAAAAAGAGACATATTTGATGTTTTAGAAAAGAATTAAGTTTTATTTTGAGGTTATATTGGTAAAATATAAGTATGTTCCATGGGATAGGGGTGGAACATGCTTTGTTCCACATAAAATTCATGTCAAACATGGGTCAGTGATCTTTATCCTGTTATGTCCAGTGTACCAAACGCACCCTAAATGGTATAATGGTCATTTTTCCCATTTCCTAAATCATGAGTTGGGCTGGGCTAATTTTATTGGGCCGAACTTTTGGGTTGGCCCAACTAATTGTTACAAAAATAAAAAGCTCCCGGCGAGAATCGAACTCGCGACCTTTCGCTTACGAAGCGAACGCACTACCACTATGCTACGGAAGCAATTGCGTTTTAAGATTATTATGATTAAATATTATTTTTTTAATTAAAAGCTGAGACAAAAATATTTGGACAAATTGCATGAAAACGCAACGTACTTTAACTTGATTCTTATTTTAGGTAACGTACTTTCAGAACTTTCATTTTGATACCTAAAATGTAAAGTTTTAAACATTTAAGCACCCGGGAAAATGGTTACCATGTTAATGTGTCGAGTGATGTGGTATCCAACTCATTATTATTTGCTGATGTGGTTAGTGACGTAGATTTTTTTAATCTAAAATTAGTCTTTTTTTTTAATCTAAAGTTAGTCTTCAACTGGTTATCTAGGTACTTAAACGTTTAAAACTTTACATCTTACGTATCAAAATGGAAGTTTTCGAAGTACGTCACCGAAAATATGAATCAAGTTAAAGTACGTTACTTTTTCATGTAATTTACCCAAAAAACAATTTATTTCTTAAACTCCAAAATTATTGATAGATAAGTATCAGTGTATTATTTTTACTGATTGATTTATTATCGAATAAATTAAATTAGAAAACTTAAACATCGAACTTAAAAAACATGAAATGAAGTTTGATTTATTTTTGAGTCAATCACACGAGTCGTCCTTGAAGTATAAGGAAACTCTGCTTTTGTCACTCGATATTCAAAATTACGCGTTATGCATTATAGTTTCCGTTTTGTTATGATGTTCGTTTTTGTCCCTAACGGCAGTCAGTAACCTCGTGGCAATCATTTGATGATGTTTTATTCATTTTCCTCATGTCGTTATCAAGAACGATCAATCAAGAACGACTTGCAGGGTGTAACTCCAACTGATTCAATCAGCATATTTATATGGTCATTTTGCAGCAACAAAACCCATGATGGGCGTTGGGTTATCACCGATATGAATAATTAAGAGGATAATGCTCGTGGCCTAGGATTTTGAGAGTGGGACTGGTTAAGTTCCAAAATGAAGCTCAAAGGACGAGTTATAGGCTGGTAGGTTTGAGAATCGAGACTAATCAAAAAAGCTTATGGCTCATGTCAAACATAGTTTTTTGGCATCTCTGATATACATTATGTCTGGTGTACATGCTAGTATGACTGTGTTTCTAAGTGCATTTATATGTGCGTATGCATTGCATACATGAATTTGCAAACACGATAGTTTATTTCATTTGCTTAATCAAAAAGCAATAGAGCTTAATAAACGAAACCCTTATTTCTCATGAGACCCTGTTGGATGTCACCAAATCCGTTGATGACCCTTGACTCAATCAATTGTGAAATCTTAACAACGATTGTAAAGATTTAATCGAAGTCTTATTACACATGTGTTTGATTGTCTGTTTAAAGCTTAAAGCCTTGGTCTTTTTCCTGTAAAACCATGAACCTTAAAGCCTTGGTCTTTTCTCTCTCTCTCTCACACACACACACACACACACACACACACACATATATATATATATATATATATATTCCGTTTGAAGTCACATATTGAAAAATGACACGACCTCATCGTGGCTTCTAAGGCTTAAGACTTTTTAAAGGAGTTTTGTTAATCTTACGAGGGACCAATTTAATAAGAATTTTTTCGAGTCAAGGTAAAAAAGAGCAAGAAAAAAGTTTTGTGATAATTTTGCATACTTGAGTTAGTAGAGGGACTGTTTATGTAATTTACTATTTCTACATGAACCGCACCCCGCTCCCCCTATTAGCTTTCCTATAAAACCAAAGACAACCCTCTCTTTCTCTCTCATCAGATCCTTCTCTATCTAGAACTCGGGTCAAATTTTCGTCGGATCCGGGGTTTTACTCGAAGGTTTATTCAAAACCCTTTTGATGTTTGATTTACCCCAAATCAATTCCCTCGCCCTTCAAATTCAAACAGCTAGTGTGTGTAAATTGGTTTCTGGAGTGTTTCGATTCTCGTTCTTGAACTTATCGAATCACTGAAGCCCTATGCGAACACAACTGGTAAGTCTGTTTTGTGAATTTTCAGATGGTTATTTCATTAGATTTGCATTTTTGTGATTTTAGGGTGTAATCTATTCATCATTGGAATTACTTGAAGATCTTACTGGGAATGAATGAATGAATGAATCGATACTACGAGGGAATTTTAGGAATTAGGGTTTTGTTTTTTAGTTTCATAAGATCTGATTTTTTTGTTTTTTCTTGTTTTGTATGTTGAAGTTGTTGGAATGAAGTGATATGAAGTTGCTAATATGAGCGATGGAGGAGGTGGAGAGAGTGTAAAAGAAATTGAATCTTGTTTGAAGAAAAGGAGGAAGCATGATGAATTTGCACAGGCGATTGCTAGAATTGCAGTGGCCCAAGTATGTGAGGGTGTAGGATTTCAAGGTTTTCAACAGTCTGCACTTGATAGATTATCTGATGTTGCTTGCAAATATATCCTGGAGATAGGGAAAACATCGAAGTTCTATGCTAATTTAGCTGGCAGGACAGAATGTAATGTGTTTGATATAGTTCAAGGGTTGGAAGATTTGAGTCTGCCGCAGGGGTTTGTAGGAGCATCTGACAGAGATCATTGTTTATCAGGGTCAGGGTTAATCAAAGAGATTTCGCAGTATGTTAGTTTGTCTGAAGAAATAGGGTTCGCTTACTCGGTTCCTTCTTTTCCAGTAATTAAAGAGCGAAACTCAACACCAAGTTTCTTGCAAGCTGGAGAAACACCACCAACGGATGCTATCCCCCCTTGGCTACCGAGGTTTCCTGATCCCAAGACGTATACGTATAGTAGCATGCCTTCAGCCGATATGGAAGAAACCCAAATGAGACCCGATAGAATTGAGCAAGAACACAAGGTCCTTGAGCCACCATCATCAAGATTGGAGCAGCTTTGGGCATGTAGCGAGTCTGAATTGCCGTTGGTTATTGACCAGGGAGATAATGTCGGAAGGGAGCGAGGGAGTAATCCTTTTCTTAATACGCCTCTACAGCCTGGAGAGAAGGAGATTTCTCTGGTTTCTCTTCCTGCTAAACTCAAGGAAGAAGACATGGTGCAAAATCATGGGTTATGGGCAAATCATGTTTCTGCATTGAATACATTTGGTCCAGCAAATCAAGCAGTTAAGAGCTGTGGGTGTGATGCTGAGGAAGGCAGTCGAAAGGTTCTTTTGAATAACAGACCTGCATTGCAAATGAAGTTTCACATTGGCAAAAAGTCGTTGGATATTGCAAATAGACACAACTACAAAGGAAAAGAAGAAGTTGCGTCTTGGTTTGTGAATGATGATGTTGGGGATGCTAAAGAAAAGAGAACAGAGAAACTTCCAAGGGAGCCGATGGATATTGAAGAGCATACTGGAAATGATTCAGTTGTAAATTAGGAACACTAGATTAGGGTTTGTATACTAGTTTGGAATCCTAGCAGCATGTGCTAGCTCCGGAGTAGTCAAAGTCGGGGGAATATATCTAGTAGAGGGGGATGTTCCCACATTAACAGGTTCTCTGAGGTATGTTTGTAGTTTCCATAATGACCTTTAGTCAATGATAATTCTTTTCAATTGAAATTCTTTTACTTTGCACCTGTTTGTTCTAGTTGGTTTATCTTCTATGTGATATGACAGTTGATAATTACCCAATTAGCAAGAAAATTGGATGTATGGTGCATCACATCGTTTATGAATGAAATGATACTATGCTTATATAAGTTATCTGTTGCTTGACATGGATGTTAGGGGCCGTTTGGTTGGTTTGCCATTAAGTCCTGTCTGGATAAAGCTGTCTCTGTGGATTAATCTGTCTGTATAGATTGGGAGGTCTTTGTTTTGGTGAGGTTTTACATAGATGGAAGGAGCATGTTTTTTAATTGGGAGGGGCAGGTTTGGATTTTTTTCTGGCTTTCTGCATAAAGCTCCCCCCTAGGAGCTCATTGAATAAGCCACTTTCTATATCATTAAGTCACTACCAAACAGTCATGTATAACTGACCGATTAAGCTGTGAGTTCTATTAAGCTCATTAAGCTGCTAATAAACAGACCCTTAGTATTTATAACCAAGGTCAGATTATGTTTTCACATCAATGAGCCCCAATGCATTGACAGAAAGATGTGTTAACTATTGTCACATGGTTCAAGAAAAGAAAACAAGAACTCTTCAATGAATAGCTGAAGGATCAGAAGTTCGGTAGGATTTGATTTTAACTAATTTTCCTTCAACTTTGTAAAGTAAAAAACTTGTTCGCCTTTGTAGCTGAAATTGTATAATCTTCATATAGCAACCTTCATCATGCAACCTTCTCCCTTTGACCTTGTTCAAATAATCTAGATGTCTGGATATTGTTGTAGATAACAGAATCATCTTTTCGTCAATGGGAAGATCTACTTTATAGTACAAACATAGGAGTAGGATTCATTATGTGCAATATTTGCTCCATAAGGCTGCTTTATCTTTTAAACTTCTGAAGAATCAATCCTCTAAAAGATAGGAACTTCCTTTATCATACAACTAGAAACAGAGAGTCGAACAAACTTTTTTGTCTGCCAACATTTACCATCTTTTCAAGTGACTGTATTTAAAGTCTAAAGTGGAAGCTTACACAATTTGTTTGATCTCTCTTTAAGGGTAATTGAATCCCAAGTCCATTTACTTGGCTTAGAACTCTGCCCAACATATATCACTGACCTAAATATAAGTTGTATGTTGCCGCTTAATTTTCCATTGCATCATTATAACATCTCCCTGGGGAACCATATTCATGTATTTCTGCAAACAGTTATTAGAAGCCAGTTGAGGTAACAATTTGCTTTGATTTATGTGCTCCATTCGTATTCCCATGTGACTATGTCTACTGCCACTTGTGTTTTTTTTACTGTTGATTTGTAGTTCATCATGTTCCATTCAATCTAGTCGGATTAACTCAAAAAAAATATATGGAGGGTGTCCTATTTTATTGCTATGTCATACTATGGAACCCAAGAGGGTGATAGTTTCAATGTACACATAAAGATCACAAAAATAGGAAAGATTTTACTCCTTGATGTTAACAAACAAACCAAGTAGCATGAGAGTGGTGATTGAAAAATCAATTATGATACTTAGAACCTTAAGTAGATTTGATGGGATCATGGGACAAGGTCCTGGAACATCGTAACATAATAATTGGAATAGAGATCACATGACTGAACTCTCTAATGGGAGAAGGAGAACGGATCTGTTTAATCGACACTACTCAGGATAATTTTGAAGAGGAAAGCTTATGTTTTTCAGTGCAATCAAAGAAGGTTGACTTAACTCGCAATTAACATCCTTTATACTTGTAACAGATAGACTAGCTACTAGGCTTTGTAGTGCATCAAAGCAATATAGTTCCATTGCCAGTTAGTTGGTTCGTGCCTAGCTCCTGAAAAGTGAATGGTTGGTGAGAGGCAATTAGAGGGTAGCAGTTTGCAGCTGGCAAAAGCCAAGGTTAGCTGCTATTCAACAGCAGGACTGTTTGCAACTTTCAAAAATACTTTTTGGACTTAACTTTTTCGAAAGCAAGACCTCTCCTTGGGGTTGAGGAAATGTTTGCGCTTACATCATACCCCTAAATCCTACTCCGAGCGGGATATACCCAATGTTCAAAAAGGCGTGAGGCGTAACGTGGCGGCGAATTTGTATGTCACATATAGAATTATATATATAGATATAAATATATGTTTTCTATATATTATATAATCAGATAATGATATTTAAAAAATATACATTCATATTAGAAGAAGAAAAATCATATAGATTATTATTATAATAAAAACAGGTTTTTTGGTTAAATATTAAAAATAGAACTTAGAAAGGTAATTTTGCAACTTTATTTTAACCGTGAGTCTATAACGTTTATGAATTTGTGAAACTGTGAGTGATGTTATTAGTTAGATCTATAAAAATGTAAAATCTAATGTTAAAAGTGTAAAAACACAAAAGATAAAAAATAAAAAATCTTTTTTTTGGAAAAAAATCACGTGTTACAAAAAACATGTGCCGCAGAGCGCCATGGTGCACCTCAAGACACTATGGCATGAGTCACGCCTTACAAAAACGCTATGGGCCATTTCGTAACGGCGGAGACGCGTCTTGCACCATGGCGCGCCTTTTTGAACACTGGATATACCGAATAGGTTTGGTTTGGTTATTTATCATTTTGGATCTCTCTCTTCGAATAGAATGTATGATGAACCATTTAAGCTTAAAATAAGGAGATAAACATGAAGATTTTAGAAGATAAACAAAGATATATAAAGATAGATATCTATCACATACATTTTATATAACAAAAAAATTGCCTCCTTCCCAAAATAAGTATCTGCATTACTATTTTAGTTTGACCCAGAATAAGTGTCCGCTTTCAAAGGTAAATGTCTACTTTCCCATTCTACCCTTAATTATGAGATTGAGAAAAAAAATTCTCTCTATATAATTAATGGTAAATTGTTCTTTTGTCAATTAAGAAGTGAAATAATTACACATTTCTAAAACCGTGTGCCCTTTTCATTATGGACATTTACATTGGGACGGATGGAGTATTACACAATTTATGAACTGTGAATTTATGAATTTCCGTGGCCGTCGGTGTTTTAATTGATGTGCTTTGTGCAATAGATCATAGGGAAATGAACACCGGCTCTCCATATACTTGGTTACTTGGAGACCTATTTGCGTAAGTTCACTTATCAAACGAACCATGCTTGAGAAGGATTTAGAAGTCTTAAATAGAATAGGTACTCGGATGAAGGTTTATTGAATGTGTGAGATTTTATTTTACATTTTATATACATTTAACTAGGAAAAGTTTATTGATTTTTTCTAGAGATACAGATGCAGTATAGATACAGTTTTCTGGCTCCACCTCTTGGTCACTTATGATAAGTCTCGGAATTAATGCTAACCTAGCATACTTCCTTTTCTTTCTTTCTTTCTTTCTTATTTTGTTTCTTTGGGTATTTTACTCAATTAACATCTACAGGACGTTATCCGGGCTAATTACGCAAGGAAATAGAACCCAGATACATGTTAAGGTCGATCTTCTGTATGACTATTTTCACACATGGAATGCAGCTGTGTGGTATGTACTTTAGGATAACATGTACATACATCAATCAAATACTAAGATGGAAACAAATAGAAGCTCTTCGCTCTTCTTTTTATGGGTTCTTTATTTCGATTCTTGCATCTTTTATGCATGACCATAGTTAGTAACATCATATGAGTCGATTCCCATTTGGCAAAATGTCATTATAGACTATAGAGAGCGTCTCAAATTAAGGTTTTGTAGAATTAGCGGATTCATTTTTTGATATTATATTGCTTATAAGTTCATAGCTAAGTTCTCTTTTCTGAAGCTCATTGAAGGGTTGCGCTAGGCTGGTGTACATCGCCTGTTGGCACACTTGCACATTATATTTATTATGAAACTGTTCTTGTAACAGAAGTGTATTTTCATTGTCAAGTTCACTCAACCTTAATGCAGGCCCGTATAGTTGTATGGTTCATCTTTAGTCACACCCAAGGAGGCCATCATGTTATTTCATGTGCTTTCTTTTGTTCGATTGAAGCATTGGACAGTAAGGGGATGTTTGGTTGGTTTTCTATCAAGTCCTTTATGTATAAAATTGTCCGGATAAAGTTGTCTATGTGGATTAAGTCCTATAGATGGAAGGAGCGTGTTTTTTAATTGGGAGGGGCTGCCTTGGAAAACTCTTGGCTTTCTGCATAAAGCTCTCCTAGAAGCTTACTGAATAAGCCACTTTCTATATCATTAAGCCACTACCAAACAGTCATATGTAGCTGACTGAGTAAGCTGTGAGTCCCATTAAGCTCATTAAGCTGCTAACAAACATGCCCTACTTCTTGGCGTGTGAAATTGTATGGTTAAATGAAATGGTGGTAATACTTTGAAACCTTAAACTCATCCTGCACAAGCTAAATGTCTTATCTTCATAGTTGTTTTTTAAATTACTGCAGTTGGTTCAGAGCATGCCTATATGATGAAAAATATATAGAAGCGGAGTTTTAGTGTGTACACCAATGTGGTTAAATCTGTATTTATAGTTTATATATATATATATATATATATATATATATATATATAAATATGCATTTGAGGTTACAGCTTTATTAGCAGTGGATACATGCTTTCACTATTTGTACTTCTGAGCTCAACAACATAAGAAATGTGAAAAGAGGACCATGGGAGGTGGGAAGAACACGAATCAAATTCTACACGGGGAACAATTGACTAAATGGCTGTTTACTACCTGCTTACTGTCTCTTACTGGGTAAGAGGCGCTTACCCAGTCAGAGATACTGCTGTCTACCAAGCCCCTCTTGCCGGTCCATGATGTTGACCGAGATGCTGACCTGGTATGCTAAGGGAGGGACTCTTACTTGGTTAGCGCTTACCCAATTTGTGTTGGTAAACAACCCCTAACTCAGCATTCACAACCTCATCAATCAAGTCTTTGAAAATTAGACGTTCTATGTCTAAAACTAGACCTGGAACCTCATAACAGCACTTGTCCCAATCTTCCGAGTTTTTATTCACTTCTTCACTGACAATATCTTTTACTTCATCGTCCTCATCATATTGACATCTTTTTGAGCTAGTTTGGAGATGATCGATTTCTGAGCATAATTCTTTCTGTAGCTTTTCTCCATTCAGAAGTCTCCCTCTTCTTTTTCGAGTCCACAGCCCAGAAGAGCCCAACATGGCTAATTTGTGGAAAAGAATGTCATTCACTGAATCAAATATCATTAATCTTCTGATTTTCTCATTTGATTTCGATCTTGGGTTCCTTCTGTGGCATCCATCATCTGAGAGCTCAGTGTATCCTTTGGTTTTCTCCAAAAGATGAAACAAGTTGGGTTTTATCAAACTGGCCGTTGGATGAAGCTGAACTATTCTGGTGGCGGAATCCAGATCTTTTAGAAAACCCGAGGCTAATAGTATCTCACTGATGTATCTGTGGTCTCCATTTGTGATTCCGCATGGAGATTCCACAGTTTCATTGACGGTCGTTTCATCATCCGTGGAGGTCAATAACTCAATTTGATGAATGAGGTGATTTCTGCTTTCTAGTTTTACATGATTGAACTCAGAGTAGTGATCCGCGCCTGTATCGTTCACCAAGTTATAGATTCCCGATTGATCTCTCTCCGTTTCATCAAAGTGTAAATTCTCAAAATCTGAAACGAGAAATGGGCAAAAAGTTGTCAGTTTGTTAACGTGACTGAGAAATATCATGCAAGTATTCTACAAGTGTTCTGTTTCATATCTTTCTATTAATATCTTTCCGATTTAGGAATTCGTAATTATTACACTTTTTAATTAACCAATTGAAAATTTTACCCTTAATAGTAGGAGAATGAACCTCCATATCTAATGAAGGATAGAATTGGAAAATAGGCCCTTATTTTTTAAAGTGGACACAACTAAAATAGAAATGTGGACACTTAATTTGTGACCGGAAATGGTAGGCTGGTGGCTCAATAGACGATATTTAGTTATTTACCATCAAAAGGATTGGGTTTCTTCTTTACTGGAGATGGTGTGGTTTCTGTGTAAAATGCATCAAGAACTGAGACAGGACTGGGTTGCTCCATGGTAAGTTTGGCAAGTTCAGTCGTTGCTTTATCTTCCATCAATCTTTCGGCAAAATTACTCTGGAAAGGGAAAAAATAGACATGTCAAGGAAGTTACATTTTTAACAAGTGTGTATATATATATATATATATATATATATATATATAGAGAGAGAGAGAGAGAGAGAGAGAGAGAGAGAGGGGTTCATTTAGGAGCCATAAATATTTTAGGAACCAAGGAACCGCCCTTTTTGTGATTATTCATTCATGAATACTCACAGAAGGGTGGTTCATGGGTTCCTAAAACATTTAAGTTTCCTAAATGAACCTGCCCCTATATATACGAGGGAGGTTCAAGGGAAAACCCCAAAAACTAAGAAACACCCTGGTAACCATTCATCTGTATGATATGCACATGTGCATATAAGTAATTGAAGCTGTTTTTTGGTTTCTATGCATGTGTGCACGTAATGCATGTGCATACTGGACAAATTGCTTACAAGTTACTTGTATGCACATGTGCATACAGTCTGGATGAATGGTTACTAGGGTGTTTATCAGTTTCTTCATTTTTTTGCAGTTTTCCCTTGAACCTGACCTTATATATACATAGAGAGGGAGGTGTATATCTTGTTAAACAAACTAAACTAACCTCACTCACCCTGTGATTTTCTTTTGGCTGATCATTTCTCATGACTTGCAGCTTATTTTTAGAGGCCAAACTAGTATTGCTTCCTGATATGAAGGAAACCGTATCGCCATCTTGGCTTGGGCTTCTTGTTTCAATACTATGCCTACATGATTGCTCTTTGGTTTGCATTGGGTTAACGGGTTTGGGTTTTTGGTTTCTGGTCTTCAAGTCTGATATAATGGGCTGCACATTTGATTGCTTCTTGATTCTGCTCGAATCAGATGATGGCCTGTGAAAACATTGCTTCTGAATGCCATTCTTTGGCCTCGGCACTTTTGACCTCAAAACGGGCCTCTCCGCAGTCGAGTATTCTGGTGAATTTGAAGGTGACAACGAACTTGGTGCCCTACCTGTTGCTTTTTGATTCCTTGAAGTTGGATCTTTTCCCTGTTTTCTAGTAAACAAATCTTTCCTACTATCAAAACGGTTAATGTTATCAAGCCCCGTGATCATCATAGAATCTGGTTTCATGGCCCTCGGAGAGCTAGTCCCCTTGATTGTTAGTGAGACCGGTTGGTCCCTTTTCTGGATCTCCCGAGCTTGCTCGTTGTTCGTCTGCATTGCTTCGAGTATCTGCTTAAGTGCTCTGAGATTCTTGGCGGATGTTTTAAACTCAATTCCGTTCAACCTCTTCTCCATCTCACCATAAACAGAAAGGGTCGCATTTGTCGCCATCACTGGAGCTTCCTTATTATTGACTGGTGGTTTTCTGGATCCTCGATCACCGACTTCTTGCTTCCGCGAAACTGGTTCTGATGCTCCTCTCATAGTAACGTTACTAAATCGCCTTTCAGGTGTCGTTGGTTCCAAACGCACCCTTGGAGAAACCGAAGCTGAAACATAATTCTCCTTAACTATCTCAACTTTGCTTGACCATCTTGAACTTGAAACTGATTCGTCATCCAAAGAGGGTTTAATCTTCAAGGTCTCAACTTCATGAATGGAGTCGGTTAAATTCTCGAGACCCATCAACCGAGCCACAACACCTGATGATGGTCTCTTATTGCTTCCTGGCTTTTGGGATTGGTTCAGGGTTTGGCTAGAGGAGATCTTCGGGCTATCCATGGAATTCTTGTTAGAATTTTGCTTACTATCTAATGATAACCTTGGAAGTTCTTTGACTTTTGAAGTTGACTTCAAAGAATACCGAGATTCCCTTTCATCACAAGAAAACCGTGATGTCTCCTTGACTTTTTTCACTCCTGATGAAGTTTCGTCAACTTTTGCAAGATTTCTATGGTTTGTATTATATTGAACGGATTTTTGGTGTATGAAAGGCCTTGGAGAATCAACGTGCTTAATAAAGTCAGCTCGTTCATCTTTTGCCACATTTCTAGCTAATGCCACACAGATCTCTCTAGTCATCGAATCTTTGACCACATTCCTGATATCGAGTGACCAATCTTGTTGCTTTTTGTGCAGATTTGGGGATGTGGGTTCAGATGGAAATTGCGATTCGGTTTGGACCATTTTACTACAATCTAAAGACGAGAAGGTGGTAGATGAGCAAGAAGAGGAAAAGGAGTTTCTTGATGATTCAATGGAGGCTCGGTTCTTTTCTATCGTCACCTTCTTCGGTTTTTTCTCCTGTATTATTCAGAGTTCAGGTAAACATTTAAATTTCTGTTGAGTTTCAGATATGGTAAGCTCATCCGTCCCAAAATAAGCGCCCGCTTTAAAAAATGTCTATTTTCTGATTCTACCCTTGATTATGAGACGGTGAAATTCATTACTTTCTCTATTATCAAGGGTAAAATCGTCATTTACTTTATTAGAAAGTGTAATAAATTACCTATTTCTAAAACTATGTGCCTTTTTCATCGTTGACAATTATTTTGGGACGAAGGCAATAGTTTTGTTCTTACCTTAGCTTTCTCTGATGAATTCTTGAACTCCTTTTCACCATTTTCACCTTGACCTACACAGCCATTGATAATTCTTTTAGATATTGAATTCATAAAGCTTAATGCTGTTAGGGTAAATATATAGTTACATGTATACAATTTCTATATTTGGTCCCTCTACTATAGATTATGCTAATTTTTGCACAATTAGCAGTAGAAGTTATTTATTTGACCCTTGTGCTTCAATTCCCATAACCTCTTAGCCTCAAGGCCTGCTCTGTGGTAAAAAGTTAGGGGCTGTTTGGTTGGTTTTCCATTAAAAGTTTTGTATGGATAAAGTTGTCTGTGTGGATTAATCGTCTGTAGAGATTGAGAAGGTTTTTGTTTGAGAGAGTTTTTTAAGCATGCTCCTTTATTGGGATGAGGAGGTTTGGAAAAAACTTGGCAAAGCTTACTGAATAAGCCACCTTCTATATCATTAAGCTACTACCAAACAGTCATGTATAGCTGACCGAATAAGATGTGAGTCCCATTAAGCTCATTAAGCTACTAACAAACAGGCTTTACTTTAAATCTTCTTTTTGCTAGTGTTATTTTACTTAATATTAGATACTGGTGAGTAAAAGGTGGTTAGAACATGAGATATGGTATAAATAATTTTAATAATTGATAGTACCATGATCGATCTCTTACAACGAATGCTGATCGATTTCTTACAACGATGCTAGTAGTGATTCACATACAATCAACTGGAAATCGTTAGAAATGATCGATAGGCTGCTGACATGAAGGGAAACTTTTCAAAGTCCTGTAAGCCAGGTTGGTTCCAAAGTTGAATTGATAATTGACGTAAAATCCTACTTCATATAATTGTAGCATTTGAGCATTAAGATATGTATATTTGGTAACTTTTTGTTGAATTTTATGATCTTTTTCTCTATCGACCATATGTTCATCTACAAAATGCATCGTAGCTAACTGTTTCCATGAAATGAAATCTACGGATACTCTGGTAAACATATAATGCTATTAGAGTAGCCATGGGAGGTTCAAATAAGAAGGCAAAATATTGTGAGAAGGTAAGAATGGAAGGTTCATATGTGAATTATTGAAAAAATTCATTTGAATATTCATATGTGAACCCATATGAATAATATGTAACGTATGTATCTTCAAATAAAAAAATTCAGATTTTTTCAATGATTCAGATATGAACCTTCCATACTTTATCCTTCTCACGATATTTGGCTTCTTAGGCCCCTAGAGTATTTTGTGTATCCATAGCTTCATAATTGAAGGCTTTAGATGATGTTTGTTAACGGTTTGCAGATGAACGCATATACTTTTACACGCACGTAGGGGCAGCTTCAAATGAGAACCGTAAACGGTAAACATTTTGAGGACGTGGGAATCAACTATTCATGATGAATGCCATGATAGGTGAAAGTTATTCATAATGAATGTACATGATATTCATGATGAATAATGCATGAAATAGTTAGTTTCTAGGTTCTCATTTGAACTTTTCTCTACACACATAAACACAAAAGCAACTTGTTGGTTTAGTGCATATATTCAAGTTGGTACCTGAACTTAGCTTCTTCTGATTCTGGCCATTGCGGTGTAGACCAAGAAGGTAACGCCGATCAAACAACTGAAAAATTCCATTCATGCATCCTAACCGCTTCTGTATCTCTTGTTTTTCTTCTCTTATTGTGTGTACAACCTTAGTAGCCATTTCCACCACGACCACCACTGTTTTTTTCTTATATTTGATTATGAAAAACTTCTTTTAAATAAAAAAACCAAAACAAGAACAGTAAACAAGATGCTTTTCTTGTTCAAATGTACCAAGAATTGTCAGTTATTAACTGTAAAGCTGCAAATAGAATGTGCAGAATCAAGTAGTTTTCTCTCTCTCTCTCTCTCTCTCTCTCTCTTTTCTTTATAGAAAGCCCAGAAATAAGAACTGGAAGTTCTTATTCTTTTGTGACAAAAAAATCATGGGTTTAAATCATATTGTCACAAAAACCAAAGGGTAAGATAGAAGAAAGAAAGGAAGACTTAAATTTTGCTTCTTTTTGGTTCCTAAAGGAAAGACTGGTAGAAGCTTAGTTAGAATGGGAATTTGAAGCAATATATGGAGGCATTGTTGGATTATTTTATGTGGGAAGTGAAATAGGTGGCAATTTTCAAGATTTAAGAGGGAAATTTGTGGGATTTTATATGTATATATTTGTGAATAGTTTGGGTGTGGATGTGGTCAGATCTGGACATCCATGTGGACAAAGTAATGTGGATGGGGTCTAGAGTCTGGCCCCTTTCATGTGGAGTTTGTCAGCTGGTAAAATTTGCAGTTTCTGAACCCTCTTTGCACACCATTCTCTCCATTCCTTGCTAACATCTAGCCTGCCATTTTTTTTCTTCATTTCTGTGAAAAGATTGCATTTTTTTAGGGATAATCATAAAAGTAGCTGAAATTGGAGTTGATCCAATTATAAAATGACCATTCTTTCCAAATTAGCACAAAATAATGATCTGTTTTGCAAAAAACATGTGCAAAAACTCGCTTTTTGGCATATTTTATTCTGTTAGTGGGCCCATTTCGGAAAAAGGTGATTTGAACCCCTTTTTGCGAATTGGGCCTACAAAATCGAAAAAATTAGAAAATGGATTTTGTTCGGTGCTTTTGCAGGTGGTTAATTTTGAAAAAAAACAGTCATTTTGTGATAAAGTCAACTCTAAGTTTGGCTATTTTTGTATTATCCCCTTTTTCTAAATTGTTCGAACTGTCTGGGTAAACTTTCTTTTTTGCAAGCCGAAGGTCTTCACAGAAACAATCGTTCTTCTCTTTAGGCTAAATGACAAGTTTTTATATATTTCCGGATCCACCTCTTGATGGGATATACTGGGCTCATTTTGTATACTATATTTTGATGCTAGTTTGTTTCTACTTGGTTAATGTTAACAAATCCACTGATTTTGTAGGATCAGAGAAAGATGATTCACCCTTTAAAGGTTTACAATACATTCTATCATGTGGGCTCCATGTACATAGGCAGCATAATGATTGTGTACATACATGACCATCAAAGTACAAGTGATGATGCATACATGCTTTATATGTATGTACTTTTGTACTTCGTATATATCCATCTATCCAAGCAAACCTGTTTTTGCGGAGGTAGGGTGGGGAAGTTGACTATGATGGTTGGTCTTAGGGTGCATCCTCACATGCTTTAAGGGGTCATATGAGGGACTACTTTGTCTTTGTTTCACTAAGCAACCACCAACCATTAGCCCCATCTATTGGTATCAATCAAACTAACCTTTTAAGAAATCTTTTTTTTGTTTATTGTGTTAAATAAACAGTCTAAATAGTAGAAATGACCATTTTTCTTTCATGGTCTTAAGTTAAATATTGATTAAATTGACTGTAGGAGAACGATAAAGCCCCATTGCGTGTCACTTTTAGCCCCATGATTGTTTTCGATTGAAATCTGTATGAATTTCTTTGTTTGTTGTGTTAAATAAATGGTAGAAATGACTATTTTATCCCCCGGTTTTATATATGTTGTGCAAGAAAGATAGCGTCCCATGACCCGTCAACATATCATTTTGCCATATGATTGTTTTCCATTACCTTTGTATGAATTAAATTGTCTGTTTGTTTGTTGTGCTAACTAAACGGTTTAAACGGCAAAAATGACTATTTTACCCTCGGTTTTAAATTGACAGTACAAAAAGATAGAGCCCCACCATCATACCACTTTAGCCACATGATTGTTTTCCATTAACCTCTTTATGAGTTAACCAGTTTATTTGTTTGTTATGTTACATAAACAGTCTAAATAGCATAAATGACTATTTTACCCCTCACGAGAAAGATATAAAGCCCATCACTATACTACTTTAGCCACATGATGACCCCCCACAACCCACAACTCACCACCAAATCACCAAGTGTTTTAATGCACATACACATGGAATGGATCTTTCTTGGTGTTACTTTGTTTTCTGATATGTTGTGCAGGGTATGGAATAGGAATAAAGATTTTTTTACAGGGTGTCAAGTGTGTGCATTATATTTAATTGGAGGTAACTTTCTGCACATTCTTCTAGGGTTCTAAAAAGGGGTTTGAGGATTGTGTGACCATTAAACAAGGATTCCCAAGTTGTTGTTAAATGAATGTTATTTGCAAGTCAAGATTCCCTCTTATCCCTTTTTCATCACATGAAAAGAAGTGAAAGAGCATAAAAGTTTTGTGGATCTAAGTTTTGGGTCCCAATTCTTTAGGAAAAAGAAACACTTTTCGACCCATTATATCAGTATCTTATTTTACTGAACTTTTTCGTATGAAATCTAAAATATTACAAGATTTTTCGGCAGAAAGAATATCCCGTAGAGGTGGAACGATAAGAGATAGAGCGAGTTTACATGCCTATAACAGTTGTCCAAGATTCTGGTTTCAAAACTAGAGTAGCACCCGTCGTCTGATCTCTTTTTTAGACTTTTGAGCCTCTTCGGATACTGTCATAAGCCGCAATCATAGGATTTAATATGCGGAAATTGCAAGTATTCTAATATTTGATCGTTTCTTATTCTCTTGTTAAAGGGTAGGTAAAAGTGAATTAAACATTTGGAGAGTCTTAGTTTTTTTTGTATAATTCCCTCTCTGTTATTTGAACCATTTTACAAATTCAAATCCTACACACATCAAATTCACGCTCCCAATGGTCATGGGTTTGATCCCCCTAACAGTCATTGACTATTAACTTCAAGGTCTATAATATCAGTGGAGGGGTAGTTCAGACGACTCCAAACATCCACATATTATTTTAATATTTTTAAGATCGATTTAACTTTTAAGATGACAGCTTATTGAAAATCAATCAATTTTTAGTGTAGAAATAATATTTGGGTCATTTCCATTTCTTATTACATATTTTGAAATTGAAGCAATCACATGCATTTGAAAATTGCAAAAACAAGAATTGAAGTTATGTGATGAGATGATGTGAAAAAGACTCTTCAACTAAGAAACATCCCCACTTCTTGTTCCTTAATTTCCCTTCATTTTTTAACTTCAATTTATTGTCTTTGGATCATATGTTATGGTAATATATATGTATATATATATATATATATGTATATATATATATATATATGTATGTATATATATATATATATATGTATATATANTATATATATATATATATGTATATATATATATATATATGTATGTATATATATATATATATATGTATATATATATATATATGTATGTATGTGTGTGTGTGTGTATGTATGTGTGAAATTAGTTTTAATAAGTGATTGAAACATCATAAATTGGTTTATTAAAGGAAATTAGAGCATTTTTTTGATAATATAGTTTGTATAATTATATTTAATACAACAAAAAAAAATTTAAAAATAAAAACGCTGGTGAGTAATCCAGGATGACGAGATCTATAACGATAACATCGTTGAAGTTTAATATCACAGACCATCTACGAGATAGATAGGGAGAACCCATAAAATTGTTATAATATTGAGAACTGGTGGATCATGTATTATTTCGTATGACTTTTTTCGGCTACAACTTGGGTTCAGTATATTAATTAACATATATTTGTTTCACAATTTGAACATTCTTTATGAAGTTTTTAACACTAGATGCACCGGATTAATTTTAAAGTGCAATTCATAGACGGACATGAGTTTAAAAGTGATCAATGATTCAGATCTTTTCTTACGCTTCTCACAATAACTTCATTTCTCACACGATATTTCACGTATACATATGTATAGGTTTTTCTAAAGAAACAATCATAGGTAATAGGTTTCACATATTCTGACATGATATCAAAACCGACGTCTAACACCTCACATTCTTTTGCCTTCGTTTTTGGAAGCATCATCTAGCCTATGTTCGATGACGCATGTTGGTGTTAGGGCCAAACCTGCAAGAGCCCAAGCGAGATCTCATACATCCACTCAACCAATTTTCGGATTTTGTGCAGCATTCTAAACTCTATAAAAGCTCATTTTTTAGTTTTTTTATTATTGATTAAGGATCCTAATTAGGGTTGTAAACGAACCGAACGATCACGAACAGAGGCTTGTTCATGTTTGTTCGTTTAACTTAACCAAACAAGCGAATGAACACGAACGGTAAACAAACGAAAATCTTTTTGTTAGTGTTCGTTCGTTTAAAAATGAGGTGTGTTCGTGTTCGTTTATGTTTGTTCATTAAATGTTAAACGAACATTATTATTTGTCATTCAATTAACTATTACACACCAATTATCTGGGAGGCCAGGGTTTTGAGGGAAAGTGAAAAGGTAAAATTTTTAAATAAGACAAAATGATGATAAAATTTAAATCTAAATAAATTCTAAAAAGTTAAAATTTAAATAAATATTATTTGAATTCAAACTAAATAAATAAAAAATTATATATTAATTTTAATATATAAACGAACATAAATGAACGAACGAGACTTTTATTCATGTTCGTTCGTTTAACTAAACGAACAAAAAAATGTGTTCATGTTCGTTTATTTATTAAATAAACAAACATAAACAAACTTCTCGTCGAACCATTTGCTGAACGTTCGGTTTGTTTACGGCCTTAATCCTAACCTCCTAAATTTGATTTATTTCATTTAAAATTAAATAAAAAAACATGTTTGTTTGGTTAAAATAAAAAAGTCAAAGTCAATGGTCTATGTCAAGTAAAATAAAATTAGGTTAAAGTTGAGAGGATTATGAAATCAAAGTCACCAAATTGCACATGCTTTGTTTCCATCCAACTCATAATTCTTATTATTATTATTATTATTTTTAAAATAAATATATAAATTTTAACCACAATTCCACTTTTAATTAATTAGTTTACTAATCACTTTAACTATCGTTTGTTTTACATTTAAGCAAGAAACTGATTATCAGCAAAACCTAATTGATTTTATACAGAACCCATCTTCAAGGACAGATAATAATATACACTATGAAGGTATATATATATATATATATATATATATATATATATATATTGTTGTGAATATTTGATACTTTTTGTACTTTCACAATGTTTTACTATGATGGTTCGGTGTTATTTTTGTGATAGATTGGTCTCATGAGAACCAAACTCTAGGACCATTACGAAACAAAATATTTGTGAATCAACCTCTTAAATCCTAACATTTGATGGAAAAAAATCATATACAAAAATATTATTAAAATATGTTGTCACGGATTTCTAACTTTTCATTATTCTAATTAGATTTGACCTATATATATATATATATATATATATATATATACATATATATATATATATATATATACATATATATATATATATANNGGTTATTATACAACCTTTGACATTTGTGCAATCAATACAACTCAATCTCAACAGTCCATTTCATTTGATTAATATGTGATTTCATAGAAGTCTTGATTGTTTCATAATATAAAGTATTGATCATAATTAATGAACCATATTCATCTTCCATAAATATTCAAATCATAATAAATGAACTCTCATCATTTCAATAAAATTCTCAATTTATTGGGTTGCATTGGTTGTACAAATGCAACAAATTGTATTTAAAACAAACTATATATATATATATATATATATATATATATATATATATATATAGCTAAATACAAAAATAATAAAGTAATACAAATTACAACAAAAAAATCATTTTTTATCATCTCTAATTTGACATCATTTAGATATATATTTTTTCACAATTCTCCAATATATATCTATATATATAGAGAGAGAGAGAGAGAGAGATGAATGATCAAATGCAAACCATCTAATTTGTATAAACCATGCAAACCACCTTCATCCGTCGATTTTATTGTTTAATCTTATGAAATTTTTTCATGAAATTGTTTCATATAATACTTAATGAAATTTTAATGAAAATATTTCATGTATCTATCTAAAATTAAAATAATGTAGATGATAATATCCGTGATTAACACCCTCCACAATAAAAATGATTAATCAATCTCTCATAATTACAAAAAAATGAACAAAATGAAAAATTATGATTGGTTGAATGAGGTTTGCACGGTTTGTACAAATTAGATGGTTTGCATTTGATTACTCCTCTCTCTCTCTCTCTCTCTCTGAGAGAGAGAGATGGGGGGAAGACATCCTGAAACCTTATATTTCATTGATATTATCATCTTCATTATATTAGTTTTAGAGAAATACATGAAATAGTTTAATTAAAATTTCTTAAGTATTATACGAAACAATTTCATAACCATATATGAAACAACTTCATCAAAAAAAAATTATTATATGAAACAATTTCATAAGATTAAACAATTTCATAAGATTAAACAATTTCATAAAAAAATTTACAATGAAATCGACGGATGATGATGGTTTGCACGATTTATACAAATATGGATGGTTTGTATTTGATTATTCCTATATATATATATATATGAGTGTATATATATATGTGTATATATATATGTGTATATATATGTGTATATATATGTATATATGTATGTATGTATGTGTGTATATATATATATATATGTATGTATGTATATATTGTGTGTGTTTTATATATGAGCTAGTTGAAAACAATAAGTTATGTAGGTCACCTAGTGGCTCAAAGCAAAGAATTTGCAATGATTCATTTTGTTTCTATCTCTTTGTCATGTGATCTAACTTTCATATTATTGCTTTCAAAATTCAAAAAATATTTAACTGGAATTCATGCTTATATATTAAAACCCAACTCAAAAAATAAACCGAATAATTTCATACAAAACCTAATGTTTGCCTAAAAAAAATTATGATCTAAAATAGTCGGGTTAGACCTAACTTAACCCCTGGTCCAAAATCAAAATCACTGTGTTTGGAGGTCCAAAAAATGTCATTGTTTGGTTAATAAACACAATTCTGTTTAAAAATCCCCTTGTAGCCACGTAGGTTCAAATGTGGTGACTCCAGGCTATCTGAAAAGCAGGTGATCATTCTGGAATTAATCGGCTCGCGGGTTGGATATCTAGGTTAATTAAAAAAAACACAATTTTGTTTAAGGGTTTTAAAGATGCATTTGCTTTAAATTGATCTGTACTCCTTTAAATTAAAGAAAAGTGGTGGCAACGTTAAATTAAAGAAAAGTGGTGGCAACGTATTATAGTGTTATATGACCTATTATTATAGGTCACAGATTCAAATCCTTGTCGCTTTTTTTGTTGTTGATAATATTAGATAAAGAGAAAAAGAAACCACTCGGTTGTTTAAAAACGTCGTTTATAAATCATTTTTTTAATGAAAATGTAGTTTTAAATATTAATAGTTATTCATATTATAGGTCAATTAGTAGTAGTTTAATGATATAGAAAGTGACTTATTCACTAAGCTTCGAAGAACAAACTTTATGTAGAAAACAAGTTTTTTTTCAAACCTGGCATTTTCAATTAAAAAAAATGCTCATTTCATACAAGTTCTCACAAACAAAATATTTCCCAATTTACACAGACAGATAATTTTTATAGACAGATTGATCTATACAAGACTTAATAAAAAAATCAATCAAACAACCCTGAAGTCAACCCTACCTGAATGGATAGGTTAGGTGACATTGGGTTATACAGTAATTCTTTTAGCAGAGTTTAAATTCCCAATACTGAAATAATTGAGTTAGGTTATCCAAATTCCTCAACCCCAATTCATATGCATTACTTCCTACATCTCAAAATAAATGTTCATAATGAAAATAACACATGGTTTTAGAAATATGTCATTATTACACTTTTTTATTAACAAAATGACAATTTTACCCTTAATTATAATAAAAAATTCCATCCACCTCATAATTAAGGAAAGAATGAGAAAGTAGACATTTAGTTTTGAAAGTAGACACTTATTTTGAACAAAACTAAAATAATAATGCACACTTATTTTGGGACGAACAAAATACAATTTTTACCAAAAAATTATTATTTCAATTGGGATTTACAATTTGTTTTTTTTTTTTAAATTAACCTGAATATCCAACCCGCTATGCGAGCCGACTAATCCCAGGACAACCACCTACTTTGCAGATAGCCCGGAATCACCGCATTTGAACCTCCGTGGCCACTAGGGGATTTTTATTCCTCCTTGGATTTGAATCTAGAACCTTCTGGTACTTTTGACCTTTGGAGTCAAACTCAAACCAATCAGACACTACCCTTACGTTGAATTTACAATTTGTTTATATATTATACTATAATAACACAAGTATACAAATAGAATTTATTTTGTTTGGTTTCAAGTATAAAAATAGTCTATCTACTATTTGCATGTCCCCAAGTAATGCCAATTTTCTATCCTATATTGGTCTCCAACAAATCATTTCCTTTTATTAAAATAATAATTCATTACTAATTAAAATGATAAATCATAGTTCTCCACAATTATTCGTTCCCAAATTACCCCTCTATTTTAACACACAATCCCTAAACCTTAAACCAGATCCATAAATAACAAAGTGCACGTCTCGTTTGATACGATACTTTCCTTCATACATGAGGTATACATAAACCTTGATCGAACAAAACAAATCCAATATACTCTACCTAGAGGTGGAGTCTGAAACAAGGGCGAACCTGCCTCTGGGGTGTGATTGTCTGTGAAACCGTAAAAATGAGAGATTAAATGAAAAAGTAAGAAATGAACAATTCACGTTCCAAAATTGAAGATGATGGTTGGTGATTAAATCGTCAAAGAAGTTTCGTTGATACCTTCAAAACAAGCTCAGTATTGAATATTTTAAAAATGAATTATATTTTTTTTAATGTAAATACAAACAAAAAATAACATATATTTAACATTGATTATCTATGTGTATGATAAAACCATATTTTTTTAATTAATTTTTATTTTATATTACAATAGTTAGTTAGTGCAACCACTTCGAGAATTTTCTGTATCAACCCTTGGTCTAGAAGGTGGTATGCTTACAAGCCAGAAGGATAACATTGTTTCCGTACAGGTTTGGCACGCAGATGGGATTGGACCGGATTGTGAAGTGAGGGTGGTGGGATTAAGCGGGTGGATGAAAAAACTACAAAAAAGTTTAGGGGTTTTAATTTGACATTGATGATTTAGTACTTTACCGATCTTGTATATATTTCTTATTTTTGTTCCACCTATTTTGGTGTCTCGCCCAATGAATCATGTCACAGACTAGATATCCACCAAACATGAAATAACAAGTTTTTGTTCTATTTGATCTCACGTACCAGACACAGGTTTAATGCAAAGAAAAATAACCAAAATGACCACTTTTTCACATACGTGTCAAAATGACCGGTACTTTCGGTCAAGTTTTTTCCACCAGTTTGGTGAATTGCTTACATTGGTCCGACTAGTCGTAAAAAGTCGAGATTCCTCCATGCATTTAGCTAAAAGAAAAGGATTGCATTTAGCCGATTTAGAAGGTTCTTGGCGAATTTTGACAAAAAAAAAATGTGGATTTTTGGCGAAAAATGTGCCCTCTTTTCGACTTGTAATGATAAGTAGGACCAATGTACGGAATTCGGCCAACCTAATGAAATGCTTTACGAAATCTATGGTCATTTTAGCACATACGTGATTTCCCCTTGATACAATACAAGACACTAACCAAGTTTTTGCTGTTGCAACAAAAGGCAGCAAATATCATTCAATACAACAAAATTTTGTTTCCATAGTGCACAGCAAGTTCATTTCATGAGGTACTGCGAAAAAATCAAGATTCAAAAACTAGAAATACAATAAGTTAAGTATACCTCGAAAAAAAGCCTCGAATTCTGGAGAACTTGTGGGTCCCGCCGCCTAATCCACAGCTGATCTGCTTAAAAGAATTCAAATACATCAGTGCATTTCATCTTTCTTTTTAAACACTTAGGAGCTGTTTACCAAAAGCCCTACCGGATAAGCGCTTACCGACAATAGTCACCACACTCAACGTATCCAGGGACGGACCCAGGTTTTTTTAAATATGGTGGCACCATATAAAACAGTTGCACCTTCTAAAACAATACGGTCGCACCTTTCACAAACCTATTTTTTTTAGCTTACGACGGAGGGACAATATGGTGGCATGTGCCACCACAACCACCCTTAGGGGTCCGTCCCTGACCGTATCACCTAATATTCTCTGCCATCAAAATAGATTGGTGGTAAGCGTTTTTACCTGGTAAGCGCTTATCAGGTAAGAGTCTTCTCTCCCACTTACCGGGTAAGATTCTTGGTCCATCCTATGTCTCTTACTCGGTAAGATAAGTGACACCCAGTAAGCGCTTACTCAGTAAGCCTTTGGTAAATGGCCTCTAATATTTATATACGGCAAAACTCTCACACACTCCTTACCTTTTGGGATCTACTGGTAACCCGAATAATGTTGGGCCAATAACCCTTCGGTTACATATCATCTTTTCATTTGTTATTGATGTCTCTACTCCTTGGTTGTATTCAGAACATTGATTCTCACCTCGGACTAGTAATTTCCAGACTTGAGAACATGCGAGTAAAAGCTCCAATGTGGGTTTTTTTCGTCTATGTAACTTTGACCAAATGGGTGTTGTTCCACATACATCTTCAAGTTATCGGTGGCCGCTACGCCATGCAGATAGTTTCTGAGAGCACCCCTAGGACCTGCAGGAAGAAGTAAAACGCGTTTACACCATCACTGAATAGGTCTCTTAGGTTGCGTTTGGCACACGAACCGGATAAGCGAGAGCGAGGGAGGGGGTGAAAGAATTGTGGAAGGTTTTAGGGTTTTAATTTGACATGGTAGTTCAGTAATTTACTAATCTAATCCTGTGTCATCTTCCTGATTTTATTCCACCTATTTAACTATTTTTATGGGACAAAAAAATGCATTTTTGTCCCACTCGGTCCGAATCTAATGTCGAACCAAACGTGGTAACAAAAAGATGGTCATGTACCGTCCTGTACCACATACCAAATACACACCTAAGATTACTTCTATTTGCAACAAAAAAAAGAACAAAAAGGAAATAAAAACTGTACTGCCATGGAGTAGATATGCTTGCATCCTATCTGCTTGATTGTTTTGGTCTCAATATTTTTCATTCTGTGGGTCCTATTTTATGGTGTTAGAAGAAATGAATAAGTGGTTATGGGTCTCGCTGCAAGGCGAAATGAAGATGGGAACAAAATGCCGAATAACCCAAATTGAATCAAATAAATCAAACCAAACAAACCCAGTATATCCCACTAGGAGGACCGGGAGGTGGGGTCTACGGGTGGGACATAGCAGACATAGCCTCTAACTCAAAGAGTAGAGTGACTGTTCTTGTGAAGAACCCCGGCTTGTGCAAAACGTGCGAAAAGAAAGAATAAAACTTGGTCAAAAAATTTTGCTGAAAAAGAACATAAGAACTTGGAAAAAAGACAGTGCTAAAATGTGAAAATGTGTTAGGAGTAAGCAAGAACGCACAGAGACAGGCAAACAACAAACAAAACATACAAAAAGGAGGAGTACTAAAGGATCTTCCCTAAACCAAACAAAAGATGGCGTATACCCTTTTTTAAGATTAGCTAAATCCATAATCATTTTGCCTTTAGCAGAGCACATGTTTTTTTAAGTATATAATATTTATATATGTCAAATTCAACAAATAAACTCACGCACCCTCCTTACTGAATTGAACCCCTGACCTCCTAGGAGACCGAAGGCTCCGATACACTAGGCCAAAGGCCCTTTGGTTGCAGAGCACATGTTATAAGAGCATCTCCACCAAATACTCTATAATTTTTCTAAATTAGAGTATCAAAAGTTAAAATCTCTAAAAAAATTACATCCAACTCCAACAACTATTCTATTTTAGAGATTCCAACATTAATTATATTATTAAAATATTCAATATATTAATAAGATATTATTTCTCTCTCCTAAACATGGCTGTTGGAGCAAAAAAATCTCCAAAATTTCTATTTTAGCATAGTTGTTGGAGATGCTCTCACATGTTTGCTTGTTAGCAACTAGTAAGATGCAGATGAGTTGAAACAACTCTTTTTGGAACCCTGAAATATAACGTTTTAACTTTTAAGAAGCATAACTTAAAACACTGAAGCAAAATCAGCTATAAAATGCCTCACCTAGAAAGTTATCATTCTTATCCTTGTAGGTGAAAGACACAGGAAAGATTCCGCTGTGTTTCTGCAAGATAAAGAATGTAAATCAAGACAAAGTGAGTATTTTTTTTATTGGGACAAAATCAATTAATAATTGGAACACGATTAAGAATTTACAAGAAATTTATGAGTTCAAAAGAAAGGTAACAGTCTTACCGGATTGAGCAATGCCTTGTACGGAGAATCATCCAACAACAATGTATTTGATTCATTAAAAGTTCCTTTCACCCAAGAATTACCGGGACCATTTCTCTCCCAAATCATTCTTAGATCTTTAAAGACTATGTTCTTATGTTTCTCTTCAAGAGTCCTCATCCCTGAATTAGTGCAACTGGAACCATCCTGCAAATTTCCATACATGTGAAGATCAGATGTTGCTAAAATTACAATAGAGGCAACTGAGTAAATAAAAAACATGTTACTGATAACTACTCCTTCGTCCCAAAATAAGTGTCCACACTTCTATAGTTTGTCCCAAAATAAATGTCCACTTTCAAAAGTAAGTGTCTACTTTCCAGTTTCCAATACTACCCTTAATTATGAGATGAAGAAATTCATTACTCAATCTATTATTTAGGGTATTTAGTTGATTAAAAAAATGTAATAATCACACATTTCTAAAATTGTGCATCTTTCTCATTGTGGGCATTTGTTTTGGGATGGAAGGAGTGTTAATTGTTGACTTTGTCATCTCTCAAATATAGACAGATGAATTAAATGGGCATATAAACCATATAAAAGGTGATTGATAATTGATATGACTATTAAGAACCCAACCAGTGATCATCCTTTCTTGAGACAGATCATAATTAGAGTATAAACGTGAAACTAGCTGGATTCAACAGATATAACTAAAAGCACTCACCCAAAGAAAGAGCAATTTATACTTCAAATCTCCCAACAGATAATYAACCACTGGATCCAAAACTTTCCTGCATATAATTTCAAGAGTTACATGTTACTGAACACTATGTAATAGAGAAACAAAGAAACTAGAAAGAAATAAACCGAACAGTACATGGTTCTCGAAGACCAAATGCCAACATGAAATCTCGCGAAACAAAAGTACAAGAAATCATCCAAGAAGGGTCTCTTGAATACTGCATCCAAAATAAGCTTGGTAAATAATAATTCATGGTTATATATCATAAATAACTTCAAATTATAGTTATCACCAAATAGCACATTGGAAACCAAGTCTTACTTGCTCGTCTTAGCATATACATATCCGCTCTGACATCCTTTGGTGGAGAAAAACAAATATCTGCGAGCAACCCATTTACATCTAAAATAATAAGCTTTTTCCTTGATGTGGGAACCTGAGGTATCACATCGATTGCCTTCAAGCCCACCCCCTCTTTCTTCTTTCTCAGCTTTTCCGTCTTCCTACTTATACTTGAGTCTGTCTCAATGTTGCCAACTTCTGTGCACTCTTCTACTTTTGATACTGTTTTAGTAATTGTGGTTCCACTTGAGCATGTGTGCTCTTCTCTTTTAGAAACTGTATTCATATCAAGTGATGTTCCTCTTGAACCCGTGGTCTCAACAATGGTCATGGCTCCACTTGAGCCCATCTCACTACTGACAACCTTTGTGCACCCGACACTTTTAATCATTGTATCTGCACCTAGGGGAGTTGTTCTTAGACACTTCTCACCATTCACAATTTCCATGCTGTCTTCTCTTTTTGACTCGGTACTCATTGCTTCAAAAACTTTGTTTGTACCTGCGTCTTTCTTTGCAATTACCGAGTCCTCTGTATTCTCACTGGTGGTCGAAATTTCACCTTTGGCTGCTTTCTTCTTTAGCTTATSYCTCTTTTTCTTTGCTGCACTCGTACTATGTGCTTCGTAATTGCCAGCTTCCAGGTTCTGCAAGTATTGGCAATTCACTATTTCACCTACGTTTGGCCTCGTGTTCTCTAATTTCTGCTCATTTCTCTTTAGTACCGTACCATTCACATTAAGATTTTTCGTTTCACTTGATCCCATCTCACCATTTGCAACTTTTGTGTGCTCTTTTCCTTTTGACACTATCTTTGCATCAGGAGTTGCAGTTTTACATGAGACTGACTCACCACTTGTTGATTCAAGAGCTCTAGTGCTGCTTAGGCCTTTCTTTGCAAGTGCCATGTCTTGTACACACCCACGAGTACCCAAAATGTCACCTGAGGCTGGATCCTTGTTCTCTAATTTCTGCTTCTTTCTCTTTTTTGACACTATATGATCTGTTGCAGTTGTACCTGAATCCATCTCACCAATGGCAACTTCCATGTCCTCTAACTGTCGGGGATTCAAAATTTCACCTAAAGTTGGTTTCTCTTTCCTTGATTTCTTCTTCTTTTTCTTTTGTATTGTACCCTCAATGTGAACATTTTTAGGCATATCTGACCCCATCCGACCATTGGCAACTTTTGTGCGCTCTTCTCCTTTTGACACCATCTCTGCATCAGGGGTTGCAAAACTCTCTGACTGTGTGATGACATCAACATTTCGACAAGGAACTTCCAGTTTGCTCTCAGGGTTTTCAGTTTTTTCTCTGAGCAGTTTTCTATTCCTTCTTATTTGGCGTTTACTCAGCTGAACGGTTGCAGTTGTACCTAGATCAGTATTTGGATTATCCTGAATGGACGACTGTGTGATGATATCAACATTTTCACGAGCAACTTCCAGTTTGCTTTCAGRGTTTTCAGTATCTTCTCTGAGCAGTTTCCTATTCCTTCTTATTTGACGTTTACTCAGCTCAACAGTTGCAGTTGCACCTAGATCAGCATTTGGGTTATACTGAATGGATGACTGTGGGATCATATCAACATTTTGACGAGCAACTTCCAATTTGCTCTCAGGGTTTTCAGCATCTTCTCTGAGCAGTTTTCTATTCCTTCTTATTTGACTTTTACTCGGCTGAACGGTTGCAGTTGTACCTAGATCGGTATTTGGATTATCCTGAATGGACGACTGTGTGATGATATCAACATTTTGACGAACAACTTCCAGTTTGCTCTCAGGGTTTTCAGCATCTTCTCTTAGCAGTTTTTTCTTCCTTCTCATTTGGCGTTTACTCAGCTGAACAGTTGCAGTTGTACCTAGATCAGTGTTTGGATTATCCTGAATGGATGACTGTGTGATGATATCAACATTTTGACGAGCAACTACCAGTTTGCTCTCAGGGTTTTCAGTATCTTCTCTGAGCAGTTTTCTATTCCTTCTTATTTGACGTTTACTCAGCTCAACGGTTGCAGTGGTACCTAGATCAGTATTTGAATTATCCTGAATGGACGACTGTGTGATGATATCAACATTTTGACCAGCAACTTCCAGTTTTCTCTCAGGGTTTTGAGTATCTTCTCTGAGCAGTTTTCTATTCCTTCTTTTTTGGCATTTAGTCATCTCAATGGTTGCAGTTGTACCTAGATCAATATTTGGGCTATCCTGAATGGACGACTGAGTGATGACATCAACATTATGACGAGCAACTTCCAGTTTGCTCTCAGGATTTTCAGTATCTTCTCTGAGCAGTTTCCTATTCCTTCTTATTTGGCGTTTACTCAGCTGAACGGTTGAAGTTGTACCTAGATCAGTATTTGAATTATCCTGAATGGACGACTGTGGGATCATATCAACATTAGCAACTTCCAGTTTGCTCTCAGGGTTTTCAGCATCTTCTCTTAGCAGTTTTYTATTCYTTCTTMTTTTGCGTTTACYCAGCTGAAAGGTTGCAGTTGTACCTAGATCAGTATTTGCATTATCCTGAATGGAAGACTGTGGGATCACATCAACATTTTGTTGAGCAACTTCGAGTTTGCTATCAGGATTTTTATTATTTTCTCTTCTGAGCAGCTTTCTCTTCTTTCTTTCCTGATGTTTACTACACAGACTAGCAGAAACGTCACCTCCAGCATTTTCCAACCCTGAACAGTTCTGTATGGGAGATGACATGATGACCTCCATTCTAGCTAGATTTCTGATGCCTTTAAAGGAGTCACAAATTTGTAACTCTTCTATGACAAATTGCAAATAACATCAGCTTTTATCAGTAATAAGTGGTGCCGATAGAACAATGTTCATACTATAATTAAACAAATAAACAATTCTGCATTAGGTTTGACGTCAAAACCAACAGAGTACAGTTGATCAATCCATCAATGCAACCACTAATCACACAAGTATATCAATCGAAGTGAATACATTATAAGCAACATAAACATGATCATAAAATCACAATCCAGAACATCACCAACTAACGACATTATAAGACAAATCAAAGAAATCGATAAATGAATTCGAAGATTGCAGTTATCGTTTAAATATTATTAAAAGAATCGGAAACATACCTAATGCGAATTTCTTCGTCGTCGACGGCGCTCAGGGAACGGTGGTACAAACGGAGTTCACAAAACCTTCAAATTGCACGACGGCAGAGAGTTTTTAGGGCTTGGACTACCACCTTTTTGGAGACCCAAAGTGGCGTAACTATTGTTTCATTTTAGTCCTTCATCTTTTCTACTTTGTCCATTTTGTCAGATAAACTTTCAGCTCTAACAGACGGTCCTTTGGAGCAATAACTTTGTAACAGTAACTACGGGTTAATGTGTAATTTTACTTAAAAGTTGGTACAACCATGAATCATGTATATATGGTAAATCTTAGGTCGCGTTTGTTTTTTAAGAGGTGCAGAAGCCTGAAGTTTTATTTCACTTCTGATTAAAAACTGTTTATTTTTGTAAACTGACAAACGTCTGAAATCTTAATCAATAGTTTGTGTTTGTAAAATCAGATGCAAACATTTTGCAAAATTCTCTAGTTTTCATAAAAATTTCTATTACCGAAATTTATCTCAACAATTACTTAACAGATGTTATCGGGAATGCCGCCGATTTATTTGCGGAAAGATCGATACCTTTGATAAATGATAGATCGTCGAAAGAAGTTCTTGCAATTTTGAATGTTAAATACTATACATCAATAAATAATTTTTTATATATATAAATGATTTTTAATTTTTTTATCAAATGTTTTATAATATAATATAAGTTTATAATGAGGTTTTATACTTCTTTTAGGCCATGGGTAGCAATGATGATTCTCATATTATAATTATATAATAGAATTAGAATATATAGTGGTCCAATCTCATGTGGGCTGTTCCACCATAAAATAGGCCCAATCCAATACACCTTTTGCAGCCTTCCAACATGCTTGCCCAAACAAACCTTACTTTATTTCCAATGACACCATTTTTAATACTAAAAGGGTACTTGTGCAATAAATCAAGACATATTTCTATTTCAATGTTTCGTTTTATTTTATATCCATATCGATACAATACAATTTTATGTGGTTTTAAGAAACCGATTTTTTTTTATTTTTTAATAAAATATAAATTTGAAAATATCATATAAAATTTACAAAAAAATATTAACATTAATATCAACTTAACTATTTAAATTTTTTTATTTATGTATTTTTATTTAATTCAAAATTTTTATTATAATTTAATTTATTGTAACGAAGTAACTTAATTTAGGTTTAATAATATAATTTTTTATTAAAAAAAATAATTAAATATCCTGTTAGAACTCAATAATTATCCTAATTATATTTTAGATTTTTTATATTTTAAAATGAGATGTTTATCATATATTTGATTATGTTTATCCACAGTTAGTTACACGAATTCAAATATAGAGCTTTAATAATTTGTATTTGTGCACAATTTACTTGTAATCTTGAATTTTAAGTAATACGCATCAATAAACAGTATTTCATGCATAAAAAATAGTTTTTAAGAGTTTTTGTCAAATGCTTTATAATATAGTATATATTTAAATAAAGAGTATCTCACATTATGACCGGACCAATACTAACAAATTGTAATTGTAAAAATAGTGACCATAATTATTGTATATGTCTGAAATCAGACCATGAACAGATAGAATATCCCACCACATCCTTCAGAAATTCAACCACTATGTCGCAACCTTTGTGGTTACCATTTTTAATACTTCATGGGTAATGCCAATATTATTTCATTTTTGTATCAGAATCAAATTAAATTATATATTGAAAATATAAAAGACAAGTCTTGATATTAATGTATGAGAACTTTTTCTCTCAAATAAAAGTCTCACTGCTAGACATTTGGTAATTTCTCCTCCGACCAGGATAAAATATTCTATTGAAGCGGCTGACTCATGCATCATATTGTATGTACATCCAGTTGCATAAATCGCATAGTTTCATAAAGAGTCATCCTGAGTATTACCCATCTGCTAGGAGAGTTTATAAACAAATACAGATCTTGGGTTATCATCCTCGATCCTGAGATATATCATAAGATCAATAAGTTGATTCGAAACCTCGCTCTCAACCTAAAAAAAGTAATTTTTCTCGATAAAGTCGGTTGATTAGGGTGAAATTGTATCCCTTCTGAACCATACAGTCGCCTTTTGAAGCATACAATTAAAAAAAATCAATGTATAGATTCTAATACTTTTTCTTTAGGTAAAAATGCATTTAGCAATATATAGAGGTGCATTTAGAGCATATCAAGTGGAAAGGTTTTTTTTTTAGCATATCGGGTAGGATGTTCTCATATGAACTACTATTAGAGAGAGTTATGGACCGTTTACTCAAATGCTTACCCGGTAAGCATTTACTGATAGAAATCAATACTATAATTAATTTTTCTGGGTAAGATCGTAGTGCATCAAAATGATATAGTATGCAACAATTTACTCGGTAAGCGCTTACCCTGGTAAGAGTCGTCATTCTCACTTACTGGGGAAGACTCTCCATTCTTTCACCACTCTTACCTGGTAAGATTTTCCATCATTTTACCGCTCTGACCCGGTAAGATTCTAAACCTTTACCATGTTCGTTCGGTAAAGAAAATTACCCGGTATGCACTTACCGGATAAGCGTTTAATAAACAGCCCCTTGGTATAAAAACATTATTGTACAAGAATCTTGATTCTTATCTTGAACTTTGTGCTAAATAATATTTTATAAGTTTTTATATATTTTATTGACTTTTATATTTTATAAGAATCTATAATTTAAAATTTAATTTGTTTTTTTAATATATAGTAATCCTATGTTTTAGTTTATCCATTAATATTATTTATAGTAATTCTTGAACAAAAAGTTAATTACTGCTAATATTAACGACTTATGTACGGTACTCTTCTTCAAAGACACTATGTGAAGAGACACTTTTGTCTCACTTAACAATTGAGGCTAGCGGGGCCAGAGATAAAATACATGATGTGTCTTGTATTTGGACAAAGTCGTCTCACTCTTTTGCTAATTGATGGGATGTCTGACAGTTGCTGAATGGTTTGGTGCAGAACGATTAAGTAGTCAAAATGATTAAGAGACTCTTATGGTATAGTGCAAAACGAAATATAATTTTTTGGTAATTATTCAGAATGAAATTAAGGTGTTGAACGGTTAAGGGATGCCCATGATACAAAATTATTCAGAGGGTTTTGAGACCATTAAGAGATAAAAAAAAATTACCAAACAAGATTCATCTTTTAAAGATTCAGATGCTACTTTTTAATGAAACTATTAAGAGCTAAACAAGCAACCCATGAGTTACACGTCAAAAACATTATTCATAGTAATTAACTGGAACATTTTTTTCTATATCTCACATAATTCTTTTAATTTTATTGATGGATTTAAAAAATAAAATAAATAAATAAATATTATTATAATAAAAAAAAATTGATTTACAACTAGAATAGTCGGTTTGGAAATAAACAAGATATGACATTATGAAGGAAGTATTGTAGTATTCCGTGTTGATAAGGTATGATGTAGGCCATGGTATTTTATTGTAGACCACTCCCAAGAGGGCATTGCTTAATCAGTTTTCTGACACGTGGCACTTCCACATCGAATCATTTGATCGGGAATGCATATCATTAATGTCATCGTTTTTACCATTTTGTGAATACACGTATCTTAGATCATTTCGAAGTCATGCTCCTCCCCCTTCCTCTTGTTCAGTGCATGCTTCTGGCTCTGTTGCCATGTTATCATCTTTTTAGTATCAGCTTTAAAACACCTTCATAACAAGATCCTTCGCATGGTACGTAAATGAACTAATTGATGACACTTTGTTAATGCGTACTGACCCAACAAGCATGACCCATATATGATGTTTTACAGGTATTGCGTTTTATCATTGAAAACAAGACATGTTGTACGCTTCTAGTCAAATCAATTAAGTCGGTATCATTCAAGTCCACTGGTTGACATATTTGGCAGATGGGATATCTCTCGTACGACAATTGAAAACCTCACACCATCCAAACGTTTCAGTCATCGAGCAAGTTGTAAACGTTAAACCAATCTATTAACTAAAAAAGATGACGTCTAAAATAGTCCAACTTCATGTACTCTTCAAACAAAACGTTACACATATAGATGTTACGTATAATGTTTTATATTTCATTGATGAATAACTATCGTTGTGAAGTCTTTTCAAGAAACACGTATATTTTAATGAAACGAGGGTAACGCTTAGGAGTGACAATTTTGTAATAAACCAAACTAGCTAATATGTATACCGGCTGTACCAATTAAATTGGTACAAATTATAGTATATTAGTAGTATCATACTAAGTATGCAAACTTGGTTGGTACTAGTGATGGCCGAAATTTGGTCCTGGGCCGGGCCGGGCCGGGCCCAACTGGTCCCAAGATTTCTCATAACCGGTCCTGCTCGAAAAGGTTGAGTCCAGTCAAACTTTATTGTAACCGGTTATGGGCCGCCGGTCCCGGTCATTAAAAAATATTTTTTTAATGATATATATTTTAATACATTATAAAATTTGTAATTGGGTCACTCAAATACACTTTAAAAATGCGTTTTATTATAATTAAGATTACATTGTCTTACAAAATATAACGAGAAACCGATAATTGTGAACATTGTTTTGCGTTTTATGCGAATCGATAACTTGGTATGTAAATCCCTCAACTAAGACACTTGTACATAGTGTTTAGAAAGCAAAAAATACAGAAAAAGGCCAAAAAAAGGGCTACATTTTAAAAAATAGTTACATTTTTTAAAAATCGTGTCGGGCCGGGCCGGTCCATAACCGGTCCCGGTCCCACGAAACACCTCAGATCCATAACCGGTCTCATATTTCGGTCCTATAACCGGTCCTTACCGGTCCCGGGCCGGTTTGGCCATCACTAGTTGGTACACAGTATTGAAAATCGCATACGATAGTATCATGATACCAACTTATTTAATTATTTATTAGTTTTGTATTTAATATTAAACATTATAACTTTAACTATTTTGCTTG